TCTGGTTCAGGATAGGGACCAGTGGAGGGCTCTTGTGAAAACGGTAATGAACCTTCGGGTTCCATAAAATGCTGAGAAATTCTTGAGTAGCTGCAGATTTGGCTTCTCCTCAAGAAGGTCCCAGCTTCATGAGCAAGTAAGTAAGTTAAGTAAGTAAGTAAGTAAGTAATGGGCTATGGGTCAGTCTCCATGCGTATACACGTGTATGTGTGTTTTGATACCTTTCAGTGTGTATTTCACACAGACACACCTACACATGATGGAGTAAAATTAGTGTCATCTTCCAAAATAGAGATTGGTTCACCTAGAGTACTCCCAAAATTAATAATTATAAATCGCGGTGACAGTGAAACTTTGCAACGCTGTGTAAATTGCAACTCATCTGGCGGCTTCCTACCCGGCTCGCCCAATTTCTGAAATTGCTGTGGTTCTTCCAGTCATGCTGGCCGCTACATTTGCCAACATGGAGCGTCTTGGCGGCCTGTGTCTTCAGGCGGAGGAAAACAGCTTCAGCCCAATTGTCGCCAGGTCTACAAAGCCGTGCACTCGACGCGTTTCCTTTTCATCTTTAGGTTGTTGCACGATTCATAGTTATTATGAGACTCCTCCACGCCAGTCGGCCTGTACAGTAGCATAGCTTCACTGGAGTATTTGCAACTTCAGTGTAATATTGTTCTGTGCGACATTTTGGGTGGCCGCACTCCAACTGCGTCAAGACGAGCATCAAGACATGAGACAAAAGACGCAGTCTTGCTTCATACGTGATTCAGATTCCAGTCCGCACGCCGAAGTAGCACGTGTCTGCGTCTCATCACACCCTCTCTAGTTGATGACATGACGTTCAGTGAGGAAGATATTTTAATGTACATGTAGCTTAAATTACATAAAAGGAGGAAAAGGAAGTGGATTCATGACTTTAATGAGGCGTGTGCTCGACAGGTTCGTACGTGCACTTACCGTCTCTGTTTACTTCTTTTTAAACTGCATGCCAAGCTTTGTCAACCTCCTTGTTTGAGTGTCCCGGGGACGAGTACTTACGTACTTATGGACCGGGAATTTCTCAACCGTCTGCACTTTTTTTAATATTTATACGCTTTTCACTCATGTCGATTACGTACACTGGTGCTGTTCCTTGAGTACCGATGTCTGAGTCTTGACGCACAGAAAAGGAACATGCCGAGTCCTTGCTACACGTGTCTGCAGCATGAAGCTGACGTCAGCATCATGACTCAGACCTGTGTGCGGCGGTTTTCATAATCTCATTCGTTTCAACTGTGTTCCTTTCTTTGCGTCATGTCACAGACATTGTGTCTTGACTGTCACATCTTTTTCTTTTCAGCGACGCAGAATGGCTTTCAGCTACATTTCAGCGGTATGATGACTGTCTAAGAATTGTATGCTACTGAGGATAACCCAAAGAGAATGAAGTAGGAGCAGTGAGAAAATGGGGATCATCTGGGCAATCAGATATGATTGGTAATCCTGAAAATGTGGGATGAACAATCCATGCCAAATGACAGTCTCTGCTGGTCAGAGTACCAACATTCTCTGGCCATTTGCATACACTTGAAATGTATGCGCGTCAGATTTAACACTGATCTCCTTGAATAAGCATATATGTTTTCTGTTGGATGCTGTCATGGCGGACAATTCATCCCTTCGACCACATCAACTGACCTCCTACCACAGCTGATATTTCAGAAGCATACAACTTCCTGTGGAGATGCTTAAAAATCGGTAGGCCGTAACAGTGTTCCTTGGTTGAGCCAGAAATGTAGGAAATGTACTGAAGAATTAGAAAGAGACGAACTCCGCTGATTTTTTGGAAAACAATTGCTAGTGGGGTGGGACTAAGTCCCTTGTACTGCGGCCACTTCTGGCCTATTGTACCAGCCCCAGATGATGGGTGAGGGTGATTGTGGAGCAATTGGTGGAATGAAGATTGGCAAGGGAAACTGAAGTACTCGGAGAAAACCTGCCCCAGCACCACTTTGTCTACCACAAAACCCACTTGACCAGACCCCGGGATCGAACCCGGGCCCCCGCGGTGAGAAGCCAGCGACTAACCGCTTGAGCTAAGGCGCGGCCTAAAGAGTAAGTTACTTTCTATTATTATACTGTCCTGAATAATCTAGCGCAGTCTTTCTCAACCTTTTCAACCTCGAGGAACCCTTGAAATAATTTTCAAATCTCAGGGAACCCTTGCGTAAAATTTATCATAAATGAGTACCTGAAATTTTCCTGGGGCCAAGGGCCTCCGGTAAAAGCAGAGAAGCTCACTGACATCTGTGAGCCCGATTGTCTAGAAAATGTGAGAGCCTCGACGTCTCACGAATATAGACCCCTGTTACACAGATATGTTTATTTATTTTTATTTTTATTTATAAAAGCAGGCTCTGAATTTAGTATAAATAAAGATTGTAAATTTATCTTATATAGTGATATTTACAAAATTAAAATTTTATGACATTGTTGAATTCTGAGGTTACTGAAAACCATACGATAAATCAAAGTAGTATGAAAAAAGTCGCCTTTCTGAGAGTGTTAATTTTTAAACTAAAATAAAGAATGAAATTTACTTCTTTAATATGGAACCTGTGTTTGTTTTCTGCGGTACTTAATTCTGGGTCGAACTACAGACACGCACACATGATGTTATATTCTACTGACAAGAGACGATTTCAATCTTTGCTCTACATGCTTGTTAAACAAGCATGTGAGAAGTCACAAACTGCAGCAATATACGTATATATACTGCTTTCCTGTGAATGGCAGGTTACTCTTCTTTCACAGAAATCCAGAAAAATGTCCAGGGACAGGTAAGCAAATCTCATGAATGTACATGTAGACTGCAGCTCACAAAGTTCTTTTTATCTTAAAGTCAAATTCTGAGGCTGAGGAGCTGATTCAGAGTAAGGGCTCCTCACCCAGTCATACACTTGTCTTTAAAGGGAGCGAAAATAGTGTTTGGTTTTGTTCTGCAGTGTTTCAGGGTAGTTTCCAGTAAGACTCGAGATCTGCTGATATACTCTTCACCCTCAAGCCCCAGCAGCTGTAGACACATTGCGAGATTTCCTTTCGTAACATGATTTTTACAAATATTCAGTTTCCTGTTAAATCCAATAATCTTGTCAATTTAAGTCAAAATATTTTCTTCGGGGCCTTGTAGATACTTATTCAACCGGGTCATGTGATTAAAAATGTCTGCTGAGTAGGCTAGTTCCTTCAGCCATTCTTCATTTAGCAAAATCTGGCCTACTGTTTTCTTGAAACTGATTACAAAAGGTTCATTAATTCTGTCCGGTGTGACATGTTTTTTTTTTCTTTTTAATCTTTTATCCTTTGCATGTTTCGGTCCTATAGACGATCTTCATAAGGATATCAATACAATTAGAAACCACTATTACAATACGTTTTGTGAAAATTAATATGTACATACAATGTCGTCATAATACAATGTACAAATCTAATGTAATAGAATTGTCCTTCTCCATTACAATATACTTTTTCTGCAATCACGCAGCAATCCGGAAGGAAATGTCTCTTTTGTAAACCAGAGTGAACTACAACCCCCAGGTAATTCTGTTCTTATTGTGACCTGCGGTTAGGGGATTTTGTAAGAATTCAAATGGCGTTTATGCCCTCCCCTCTCAGCAAACACATTCGACCACTCTTAACAACCTGCGTTGTTGTCCTGAGATTCTTGAAAGTAATTTCAGTTTTGTATGAACAGTTCAATGAGTTAAGTTCAAGTTTACCAGTCAATATCATTATGACACCAGTTGCATCCTTTGTAGCGTCAGAATTAAATTTGTGGGTAAAAATAGACGATTCCTTCACAGCCGACGGTGAAATCGTAATATGTCTGTATTGCAAGAAATGTACTGAGTGAACCGTGAAATTGCAGTTGAAGCCACATGTATGCAAAGAACAAAGAACGGAATTCTTCGAAGAAGCAAGTGCTCTTAACACAGATGCAGCAATCTTCGACCTGAAGAAACGAATTCTTCAAGGATATGTACAATTGGATGTGTCAGCGAACATCCCCTCTTTTAAATTTCGAATTCCCGAATTTCGGACCTTTTTTGGAAAAGTACTACAAGCAACATTTTCCAGAGCAGTCAACATTTCAAAAATTTTTTCTGCTTATCTTCTATGATGAAAGCTTGGAAAAGACAAGAGGTAACACAGCAGATGGCTTTATAGTGTTGCTGTTGCTGTGTATGCTGAAAGCTGCAACTGCGTTGAAAGTGATTTGCCATAATTTTCTTCGCTTGCCTTGCTCATGGACTGCGGACGTGTTGCAGAGGAGGTTAGAGCCAAGTTCCCCCAAATGAATAAATTAATTAAAAATTTTTTTAAACCCTACATCGAGTGCAGTCCTACAAGCAGCATTTTCCAGACGCACCCCTTGCCCCCCCCGAATGGGGAACCTGCACAGAAGCAGGCACAGACGAGGCACACTGCAATAGGACAAATTGAATCACCAGTCCATGTAAAGCCCACTGATAAGCAGCTTTCGTTGTAAAAACGGACTTTTATATATCTGTTGTTGAACTAGTGTAGTGACATTTGTCGGTAGCTTGCGAATCTAATCAGAAGTTATGATTATGTTTAGTTATCATGAGAGTGTATGATATGTTCATCTGTGATTGGGATGTATGGTCATGTTCATCTTTGATCAGATGTTATGATCATGTTTTTGTCTCATCAGAGAACACGGTGAAGGCCATATCTGATTATAAATTATGGTCATATTCAACTCTGGTCAGAAGGTATTGTTACGTTGTCCCTGGAATTATGGTCATGCTCAGGATTAGAAATTTGTCTTTCTCGTTTTGCTTAGCGTAAAGGAATTGATATCAGACAGTCTGATGTCATTATATGGCTTGCAGGAGACCTATGTGGACCTGGTTAACAGAGTTGAGCTTTACCTTTTCACCTGACAAGTGAAAAGTTTCAAAATATAAATGTTATCGCTCTTGTTCCTTGTTTTTCAGGCATGAAGCCACGGATGAAGAACCACTTTCGGGCCCACCAGTTATCTGTGTGGCTGCGGCTGATACCAGAATTGCACAGAGCAGGAATGGAAGACGTAGTTGCACGCCACAATTTATTCCGTAACCACAATGACGCTGATCTTTATGATGGCGTAGTCCGTCCTGACCCGTTATCCAGAGGAACGTCTTCAGTATACTACGACAGCATCCCAGGTAGTGGTGGAAGCCGAGGTCCCGATATCTATTTCGGTCCTACAAGTGTTCTAGGACCGCGAGGCAGAGGCGGGAATGGAAGCCTGGACTCGATGCCAGGCGCAGTAACTACAATGGATACGCTAGTGACAACGTGTATCACAGTGGTTGGCAGTGGAACTAATTTCCAAGGTCAGCAATCAACACATCAACTTCAGCATGGCGGCAACACGACGAGTGATACCCTTGCTAGCCTAGAAGCTGCCGGATATGCTGCATATTCCACAGCCCTCAGTGTTACTATAGCCATTGGTTGTTCACTACTGATCCTCAATGTCCTGATATTTGCTGGTGTGTATTACCAACGTGACAAAACCAGGCTTGAGGTGAAAACACTTCAGCAGCAGCAAAGTAGACACAACCCAGGGGCTAATTTTGATGGTACTGGGAAACATCACAGTGGGCATTACCATGTAGGGCATTCTGGGAGTGGGAGTGTTATTGTTGATATGGAGCAGGACACGTCAGCAATGATGATGACAACGACAGGAAGCAGTGGAGGTGGGACTGTGGTTTTACCTTGTGGAGTTGCTCAGACTGGAGGACAGATTACTACATCACCTTCACACCATGGCATGAACACATTAACAAAGCAACATCATCTTGGAAGTAACATGGTGATGACTAATATGTTAAAGGCACCTCCACCATCACCAAATATTGTTAATCAACAACAACAGCAGCAGCAACAACAACAACAACAACAACAACATATCATATTAAGGACATGAACATTGCCAAAGAATATGAACCTTGCCAATAATGTTGCAAATATGCCAAGTGGCAATGTGGAGTTGCAGCAAGTTTTGACATCGCCGTCACCGCCAAACGGCTCAGCTACTTTGCACTTGTCTGTGCCAAAGCCTCCTCCACCACCCAGAAGCAAAAGTCCTCCTGAGTCCCAACCTCTTCTAGCATCTCACCATCATCCGTCACATGGATCTTCAACGGGGCATGGGAAAGGTGTTCTGAGAGTGCCTGCAGCAGCCATGGACGAAATGAGAGTTTGATTTTTGATTTGGGATTGTGATATGAGGGATGAAATGGTGTAAAAATCTTATTTTTTTGTGTATGTTTATCTTTGAAGAACCAATTCACTTTGATCAAGTCATTTTCTAATAATGTCTAAACTGACGGGAGTTCTTTGCATGAATGCAGCCATGTAACATGGATTAGATATATTGATGGGAGTGTGTGTGTAACGTAAGATACTATCAAATAAACAAGTACAAATGTAATGGAAACTAATTTCTGAATCAGGTAAGAATTTACATCAACACATAATATAATTTAAATCCTAGAGGACGTAGAAGTTGTGGAAGATCACTGAACATATGAAATGAAAATCTAACAGACCACATTGCCTAGTATCTGACACAGTGATGATCATGATGATGGCCAGTACGTTGTGATGATATAGGTATAATTCACCTTGCGTAAGTATAATTTTGCTGTTTAATTGATCACTTCATTTAGGGATAATATAACTTACAAGCTGGAGTTACTGAGCCCATTGAATATAGAGAAATCGCTAATAGGATCATGATTCTTACAAGCTGAATATAAATAATTTATTAATGTTATATTGGTCTATTTTTAGGTTCCAATTGACTTAGACATGTAAATATTTCCTGATAACATGTTGTATAGAACAAATAACAAGTTACTACTGTCAGGAAAGTCATCACTTTAATGGGTTTGTGTATCATGTTTCAAATTGTTAATAATTGATGGAGAAGCACTTACTACAATACGAAATTCTGTTTGCCTTGTAATCCGTTTTATGACGATGTCTTTACACTGTAATTGGGTTTGTATTTCATGTTTTAAATTCTTAAAGGAATTGCGGGTATGCGAAATGTTTTCGAGTTACGAAGTTCCGTAATAATTGAGGAAGAGGCAATTACTACAACAAGACATTGTGTTAGTCTTGTAATCCAGTTCATAGAGATGTATTTATATTGTATGCAATCTTGAGGAAAGGACTGCAGAAAGTGCATATTATTAGAAATTGACACAAGCAAAGTAAGTGCAGTAACACAACAAAAAGATACGGTGTAAGTGTCTTGGTTCTTAAAATTGCCCGATTAACCTGTGATTTTAAAGATTTCAGAAAAACTGAGTACTGCAAGTAAGAACAATATATTAAAAAGAAATGTATCAGACTAGTGTCCGACTGAAAATAAAAATGTCTTCATTCATGCTCAACAATGATATAAATTTATTAAGGACATGATAAAAATGGTCGAATTGTTACATAAGTTTATGAAAGAATTATGTATATTTATGAAACATCTGATTAATGAATGTAGTGCTGTTGAAAAATAAGACCTCTATAGGATAAACAGATAGATGTTTTGATATTTGGCCTACAAAGTTTCATCAAATCGAAAATGTACCTCTTTGTTACAGGCCTATTAAAGCAACATCTCGAAAAAAGAGGAACATAGGTTTCAAATTTGTGTGCTTGAACGTGTGAACACGATAATATACATGGAACATATTTGGAGAATGAAAATACTAATAATTATGTCAATATCTGTGTTCCTGATCTTAGCATAAGAATATTTTTTCTTCGAATATTTTTTTTGTATGTGAAAGAGCAAGGGTGTGTACATTTCTAGCTCATGTTTAAGACTAGAAGTCTTCAGCAACAAACTGAGACAGTTACAAATGTCGTACTGTGAGATAAAGTACAGAGTATACGTACTTAACGCAAGTTAAGTACTACATGAAAGGATGCGAATTTGAGGCAAGGAATGAGAACCATGTGAATGTCTTTGTGACCCTGTTATTACATTCTGAGTTTAGAGCTGTACACCCAAAAAATAACAAACATTTTATTCCCATAAGAAAGGAATCTTAATGAGTTGGCGAAGGAGAAAGTGTAATATCCAAAATTATGAGAATGTTTGTGTTACTGACAAGTGTAAGTGAGGAACAATTAATATACATCATACGGAAATGAAAGGTGTTATTTCGGTTGAATGTATTTCATGTTTATTTACTGTGCTCAAGCATATAAAAATTTAAAAATTGAATTGAATATGTATCTAATTTTAACAAAACGTTAATACATTTATTGAAATTATATAAGTATTAATATGTACACTGACACTTGGAGACTCTACTGTCCAGATTCATTTGACATGATTAAAATTATTATGTTATTCGAAAAAAATGTTACTCTACTGGTAAGAAAAAATCAAAGAAATCGTATACAATTTTGAATTGTTTCATCTTTGGTCCGTTACACTATCAATCACAAATTGTCAAAGAAAAATCCGTCGAGTGTAACAATGTTTTTAGGTCACTTATTTATCTCACTTGCCTTACATGTTTCGGTTCAAGAAAAACCATCATCAGAGGCACGTATTACAAACACATGAAAACACTGGCGTTGTTTAATGTACACAGTATGTAAGCTGCGTGGACGCTGTTACAGGTGTAGAAAGTGTTGTGCTTTTACACTTCGACACCTGTAACAGCGTTCACTCAGCTTACATACTGTGTACATTAAACAACGCCAGTGTTTTCATGTGTTTGTAATACGTGCCTCTGATGATGGTTTTTATTGAACCGAAACATGTAAGGCAAGTGAGATAAATAAGTGACCTAAAAACATTGTTACACTCGACGGATTTTTCTTTGACAAATCGTATACAAATTTTCTGTCACAAGAAGAGCTGAAACTGCACTAAAATGATTTAAATAAATAAACAAACCGTTTTAATAAATATCGGTGCGGGTCAGTCGCGTATGTTTGCACTGAAAACTGTATTATTTCTTCATAGATATATAATAAAACATAACCTTATAACTGTTTCTTTTAAAATATGCAGAAGTTGTGAACTATTAAAGTTCTGTTACATATTTCTCTAGCAAGTGACCAGCAGACTGAGATGATTTACCTGGTATCATCCCCAAATTATGTTCTGTTTTATGTTAAGTAAACATTGACATAATTTCTGGAAGAAAAGTTATGAATCATCAGACACATGGTATATCAGTGTGTCTTTCTATCAGTAGATGTGGGAGAGAAAAAAAAACAACTTGCAGGCTGCGTTCGCCATGAATGCATAATTATAAATATGCAACCCGGATTATTCCTGCTATGTTAAAATATCTAAGAGACAGCTATAAATCATACAAGTATCTCCATCATAACAAGAGCGCAGGGAGTGGGAAGACAAGTTCAGTGAGATTCAGATTAAAATGGAAAAACAAAACTGAAAGAGAGATTGATCATTAGAATGTAATGTTTATGAGGAATGTGTTTTCCAAATTACGTTTTCAGATATCTTTTAAAAGGCTAAGAAGAAACTGAGTCATCAAAATTGAATTTTTACCACAAAATTACTTGACATTTACATCCTTAAATTAAAATGAAACCAAAGAAAAACAGCCCTCCTGTATTCGATATGGTTATTACTTGGTCAAAACTCGTAGCATTTAGACATGAAGTTGAGTGATGTGTCATTCTGCCTCTCCTGATACATGTGATTCTGGACCAGTCAAACGTAGCGAACAAAATTCTGATTTATTGTATCAAACCATGTATTTGAATTTTGCAAATTGATTGTTATCGTAATATTTTCACGTGTATGAGTATAGACTGGGTTTGGATTGGTAATTGTAATTATTGAACACACAGTTTTTTATTGCTACTGGGGTGGGACTAAGTCCCTTGTACTGCGGCCACTTCTGGCCTTTTGTACCAGCCCCAGATGATAGGTGAGGTTGATTGTGGAGGAATTGGTGGAATGAAGATTGGCAGGGGAACCGAAGTACTCGGAGGAAACCTGCCCCAGCACCACTTTGTTCTGCACAAATCCCACTTGACCAGACCCAGAACGAACCCGGGCCGCCGCGGTGGGAAGCCAGCGACTAACCGCTTGAGCTATTGCGCGGCCCCTTATAGATAGTTACTACAAGTAACAATAGTGCTATCGCTAATTCACAAACTCCGCAATTAACTACATTGCGCACTAAGCCTTCTCAGACTACTCTGTCTTCACCGGTTGTCGTCTGGCAAAGGCTTTCAACGCCGTAGCTTCCTCAGCTTCCGTGGTCACATCCTTACTGACCGGCAACTGTCTCCCAACTGACTCATTGCACACCTGACTGACCCTGAAGCTGCAGACCATCTCAGAACAACCTCCTGCAATTCTCAGAACTCTCTCGCAATCCCACCTGCTTCCCGTTATGTGGTCTTCGTGCGGACCACACAGAAAACAACGCCTCCAGCAGTTCCTCCATTTTTCTTTGCGCGTCTGTTGTTTTCATTAAGCAACAATGACCGTTGTTTACAGATCCATTTCCTAGCAACTGCTTTTGTATAGCTGCTTATTTCGCGGTCGTTGCCTAGCAATGGATCTGTATGCTACAATATTTATATTGGTAATTTGTACATTATTCTAAAAACATTTATTTCACATGTATGAAAGCAACCGGGTTCCGTTTTAAAATGATGTAAAGGCATATTTATTCTGCTTATATAAATTATATCGCGAGTCGTAGGAGGCGACAAAAGAATGCGCTGGCAAGGGCCAGCAGTATTCATATATACCCCGTGTGGAGGCGGGGTCGAATACCTCCACCGTGACCCTGCAAGTCGTAGGAGGCGACGAAAAGGAAAGTCTCAAATCTGAGACAGTAAAATATGTCGCGAGTCCCATGGGACTCGGAACCGAAAAAGACTACGCTGGCAGGGGCCAGCAGCATGTAGAAAAGACAGACCCGTCCTTTCGTCAGAGAGGGCGCCCAAAAGAAACAAGACCGTAACCGTCAAACGATATTAAATAATATCTGGTCATGAGCCCCAGATGGGACTCGACACCAAGACTTACTGACTGACCGACCGTCAATCGTAATGTGACTTTGACTTCGACTGGACTTAGGCAAGCAAAGGGACTCATACGGGGACCCTCTATTAAAGGAGCGAAGGAGCTGTTGAAGTTAAACAGGAACCAGCTACGATGGGTGGTAGGACTACTTACAGGACACGGTCACCTCATAGGACACCTCTTCAAACTGGGACTAAGTAATAATGCAACTTTTGAGAGCCACACATATCCTGTGCGAATGTGAGGCCTTAGCTTATTTAAGATTGCGTCACTTGGGTCAATAATTTATGGAACCAAGTGACTCAGGATAGGGACCAGTGGAGGGCTCTTGTGAACACGGTAATGAACCTTCGGGTTCCGTAAAATGCTGGGAAATTCTTGAGTAGCTGCAGAATTGGCGGCTCCTCTAGAAGGGCTCACTTCCCTGAGTAAGTAAGAAAGATCTATTGCTAGGGAACGACTCGGTAAACACATCTCCGCGGGAGCCAACACGCGCAACAATAGCACTTTCATTGCTAGCGAGCGGATCAGTAAACACACCTAAGCTATACGGGGCAACAGAAGACGGTGACTTCCGTGGGATCATCCTGAGGCCATATAATGGGATGGTGGGAGAGAGCAGTTAGTTGTTGTCAAGAAATGGGTCGAGTTCTGGAGTTTGCAGTCTAAGATGACTGAGAAAAAAATGGCAAAAAAGGAATTAGACTGTCACAAGTCTTGACGAAAGGCCAAGCATATTTATAAGAGACAAATCCATCTTCTTGTCAGAGAGAACGATGCATAAGGACTATTACCGCAAGAGTTAAATTGAAAAAGAAATCTCTGATCATTGGTCTCAAAGGGCTTTACGACAAGATGAACTGATTGGCAGTAAACCACCAGTCGTAGAGCAAATTTGACTTTGACTCTGAACGAGTCAGTTGACAGTTGTAAGGGTGTCTGTGAAGACTGGGTCTGTGCAGTTGAAGAATCTCCGTTGTTAGATCCCTTACCTGGAAACGATTAGTGAAAGCAGACTGGAAAAGACTTAGCGTGTGCTCTAGTGATATGTAAAACGTGAAGATTAGCAATGGCTCTGTAGTTACTGGCATGAAGAGTTGTGTGTTAAAGTGGTCAATAAGATGACCCACCGATCAAAACCCACGTCTTCAGTCACCCATACACGTGACTATATTCTCAGTCGCTGATAGGCAGTTTATTACATTGAAATATAACAAAATTTTGTATGATATTCCTGCAATATGAAAGTCTTTCGTGTCTTAACGCTTTATGAAGTGTAGCACATTAATTATAACCATCATTGAAGTAGGTACTTCATGGAACAAGTTATAACGACCTGAAGAATGCAATACGAAACACACAGGGACAAATATGCAACCGGAAACGCTTTGGTGGCTAGTTTATGCAGTAGCTGCACTGAAAACACGTAATCCCATGGCGCAGCATTTACCGTCCGCATCACCAGTTTTCACGCATTTATATACAGATTAGAGACATGTGAAGTTCTGGTTATGGGTTCAGTTTCAGCTAATGGACATCCAAACCTAGCCCTCCCTTATAATCCCCTTTTAACACTC